ATCTACATTTCAGTTTACATTCATGCACATTCCAAATTTTATCAATGATCGTTCTTTATCAAGTTATATCTTTTATCATCGTAAACAAAAATTTAGCAGACTGAAACTACATCATAAAATTTAAATCAATCAGCATTATAAACGCACAAATCATATGACAGTAATTGAAATTGGCCATTTCAGATAACATCGACGAGTTCTGCTGTGATGCATTCCAGCTGGAGCAACTATCCTCACAGATGACCTTGCCAAGACAGTTGCTGTCACGCTGTCCGAGCTGTTTCGCTAATTTCGTGCAACTTTGGTGTGACTTCACTTGCTCACCAAAACAAAGTGATTTCTTGCGGATCAAAAGTCTATCTGATGACCAATTTCTTCTGTGAGTTGTGATTCGCATTTATGATGGGATGTCCTTGAATGCTTTCGATTTTCATTGGCAGCGTTAGGTTTAGCTAACCAACTTTTAACCTATAAGAAAAGAAAAATTACTTTTCATGCAGAGAATGTTGATGAATCGATCAATCACATTCAGAGCATAACTCGTCTCAAATTTTAGTGAAAATAAAACACACTACATCACTGAAATTGAATATTACTTGCGTGAAGAATATGCGAATGGTCTTCTAGAATCATGTAAAAGGGTCAGTTGATATATTTTATTGCTTCGCTTAATGACTTNTCTCTGGAACGGTTCAATTTTCAATCACGTTGTCTCCTCAACTCCGACAATAAACCATTACCTCTGGCTCATTCCGATCATTCAGCAAATGAACGAATAACGTCATAATGAATAACTGCTGACAGTCTGCAGCAAAAAATTCATTTCAAATAATATAAATGCCCTACGAGAAATGTACAAAGCAAATTCAGTTCAGTTATTCCGCAATTATCCACAAATAAATTTAGTTGCAATTGACGTGTTTAAATGAAATTATTTCGATTGCTAATTCGACCAAATTTATCAGTAAATGAAATGCGTAGTGCCGTTTACCTACTACTGTTCGTTGTCGGTTGGTGCTGAATGGCACCAGCAATTATTTAGTTTCGTCTCGTAACACTTAAACAAACGAACGTATGAAATTATTTCTCATCTGCCAAATTACCAGCACTCCTCATGCTTAGTTGCGTTTTAATTTTCTGTTGCAAATTCGATCGAATGGAGATGTCGAATGTTTATGG